CAATATCCAATTATCAGTGATCAAACAAGTCCAAACTGTCAAACAACCCCGTAACCTGTCCAACAACATTGTATGCCTATATCCTCTACATACATTACCTACTGTGACCAAGGGCCATCCAGCTCCAGCAATTGCATTTTTGTGGTGTCAGCTTTTCGCCGCCCGTCATTTCAGAAACTAGAATTGCATCTGTATTATATTACGCATATGATTCTAATTAAGAACAATCAACTGCACTGAAGCAGTTGGCCTAATAATCAGTCTGGCCGCAAAACGGGCTGCGTGTCCCCTTCACGATGAGCTTGTTGAATGAGGATCAATTTATGAGATGTCTCCCGGGAGACAAATGACGATCAATTTAGCCTTAGCAATAATGATTAAAATACGGCTGCTATATATATATATATATATATATATATATATATATATATATATATATATATATATATATATATATATATAAGGCCCGTCTGGCATAGCTCAGCATCAGCAGTGAAGCTTGATGAGCAGCTTTTTCGGTGAAACTGAGCTGTTTTAGAAAACAATGTTTGGCAAAATAGGTTCACCAACAGCCTAATGCAATGGCTTAATTAGAGAGGGAAATGAGGGAGAGAGCCGTGAATTTTCAGCTCCACTTCTCTCCATTCCTCTGTCAGAGCATAAAAAAGGAGCTTCACCCCATGAGCTGTTTTAAAAAAAATGTTTAGCACAAAATAACTCACAATAGCTCATGAAGCTGTTGGTAAAGCTGTGCCAAACAGGCCTATAGTCGTTGACCATATTTGTTGTATAGATTCCCTGCAGGTCATGGACTCTTGGTCAGGATGAAAATACTGCTGCTAGAGACATCATGAGATTAAAATTCGGCTGCTAGGAACATCTGTTTAGCACGATTAAGTGCCTCGAGATTGGGGAGCAATACTAAAACATCACCGCTAGCCGCCTCAAGGCCTATAGTCGTTGACCATATTTGTTGTATAGATTCCCTGCAGGTCATGGACTCTTGGTCAGGATGAAAGTACTGCTGCTAGAGACATCATGAGATTAAAATTCGGCTGCTAGGAACATCTATTTAGCACGATTAAGTGCCTCGAGATTGGGGAGCAATACTAAAACATCACCGCTAGCCGCCTCAAGGCCTATAGTCGTTGACCATATTTGTTGTATAGATTCCCTGCAGGTCATGGACTCTTGGTCAGGATGAAAATACTGCTGCTAGAGACATCATGAGATTAAAATTTGGCTGCTAGGAACATCTGTTTAGCACGATTAAGTCCCTCGAGATTGGGGAGGAATACTAAAACATCACCGCTTAGCCGCCTCAAGACTCCACTGCTAGCATCTGCAAGCCACCCTGCTCTGCAAGCGCCAGATTTTGTGACCAATGGTCGAGCTAGATCTAACTGTATGTGTGGTTCTTTTTAAGAAAAGAAATTTAACCAAACGGGTTTAGGCCTAGATTCGGTTTTACAGAAATCATTCCCAGCCGCACAAATCATTCGCAAATTTGTACTAGCAGAAACTTTTCCACGCCGTTCGGCCTGTTCCAACGTAACCGAACAGGGCCTTAATGATTTATTTACACTGAATTGATCCCCGTGAAATATTGCTGACACGTCTTCTTCATGCTGGTCGACAAGACTCACCATTATTTACTACTATATATGTGGCTTCACAATTTTCTAGACTTTGATGTGATGTAGCCTCCTAAATGACAAAGCTTTGACATCGCTTTGGTTTTATTGGTAAGTCATTGTACCCTGCTCCAGGGTGGGCTTTTGAAAAATGAATTAAAGAAGAGTAACTTCAAATCATATATTAGAAGTAGAGTTCACTGGTAGAGCATCCTAGGGCATATGTTTCAAGCAAACACACATCACACTAAAATAAGATACATCCAATAAATTCTTACTAGAGGTGTCTAATGAAGCCTTCATGTTAATCTTCTTGAGATTTGCTAGGGGGAAAATATAAATATTAGAAATTCTCACAAAATCTGTAACATTAGGCCATCAATTTTGTTGACTATAATCGTTGTTGATGATAATAGCCATTGGATTTATTCAATTTTCAAAATGGAGATGGGACGAGGTTGAGGAATGGATGAATAATTACCCATGTCTGGTATTGTTTAATAATCGTAAAGCATATATATGTTTCTGTATTATCAACTTCTATTAATATTAATATATTCAAAATTTTATTAAGGTAATCATACATGGTGTACCACCTTGCCGATCAATAACACGTGCATGCATGAACAATAAATATATATGTTATGTTTTAGCGATCATAAAAATATTTCCATGAACAATAATACTATATATGTTATTTGATTTTTTTAGCGATCGTTTTATTTGGCAAATAATATTTCCTTAATTAGGATTCAATTCCCACCAAACTATGCAATTACTAACAAATTATTTTAAAATCCGGGACATATAATTTATATAAGCTTATTTTAAAATCCGGGACATATAATTTTAAATATAATTATACATTTTAAAAATATGTTTGACATATCTATATTGATAATATAATCATTATTGTACATACAATTCCTTGATAAGAAATTCAAAAAAAATTGAAAATAAGAGTTAGTGCATATCATAGGTGCCTATATCTTCTGTCCTTAAGATTCTTTTAGAGTAAACAATCATTATAGATATTAACATCCTCTGAAAATTAGCAGCACTATTCTATCCTAGCTCAAGCACTGATCTTATGCAATGTGATGCTGGTTATATATGATTATTTATGCCATCATTGTTTTTAAATTGAGGTGTAACCTATGATGTAAAATTCTTATTTTATAAAGTACAACAGGAGAGTTCATAATAGATGTTATAAGCACGAGAGTTTCAACTTTTTTCAGAATAAAATTTTATATAAATTAAGAAGATTCAAATTTAAAATAAAGAAAATAGATTAATTATGTCATATAAGAAATGGGCTGCAACTACAGTCACTATAGTTTAAGCCAATGTCTCAATTAAATGTATATTAAATGCCTGTTTGGCATGGCTCCAGTTCCAGCATGAGATTCTACGGAGGAGAAGTATCAAACACTTTTTGAAAGACGATTACTTGTGAATTGCAGAAGAGTCAGGAATCTTTTTTTTTTTTGAATTAGGAGCCAAAGCTGAAAAAATTGGTGTTGGGAATCGAGGGACACGACAAGGTAGGAGAGAGAGAGAGAGTTCCGTCACCTTGAACTCCGAAGGCTCACTGCAGAGCGACAGCTTTCGGCATGAAGGGGCACACAGGTGCTGAGGCAACGTCTAGGGTTTTGAGCCAAAAAATCACTCTCTATTCATAATTCTCATGTACACAATTGCCCTTATGCTAGCTAAGGCATATTCCGGGATATTTCTACCCGAGAGTGACCCCCTTCCAGTCTTTGGTGTCTTTTCCAACATGAAAAGCCTCTCTTGATGGGCCTTAATCGAGCCGGGCCACGCGCCATGCCGTCTGACTCCCGCCGCCGCTAGGACATCAGCATTGCATCCCCTTCAATCACCTTTGCTTGACTCTTTCTGATCGAAGGCCCTGTTCGCCGCCACACTCCATCAGAGAGCCAAAGACTGGAGAATATAAGCGAAGGCTCCCTCCTCATGGGCTTCTCGACCAGGCCATCGCTTCTCCACACTTGGTGCTCAGCCGGCCTTCGCTTCTCCGCTCTTGGTGCTCAGCTGGCCTTTGCTTCACCACCCACAGCAGCTCCCCACCCTCGGCTAACTCTTCGCCACGGTACCTGCTCAAACATCCCGTAAGATTGGTTACTTTGTTAGAGAGCCTTGGGAGCAAGGCCCGCCCCAACAAGTGGCTCCTCGGGAGGAGCACTTGAGGAGGAGTTGTGCCGAATGAGCCCTAAAGATTCACATAGATGACATGCGAAAAGGAACAAACTATCGATATGGATGAGAACATTTAGTTCAAGCGCAATTGATAAGTTTATCAGAAAATATACCTATTGTACTAAAAATAAACAAAGAAAAACATGCAATTTATTAAGTATTTTTTATGTAACTGATGTTGGTTCTAGCCCATGCGAGATCATGGGTTGATGGACTAGTGTGCTAATGATGCATTGTGAAATATATCGCCAGTGGTTAGGACCTTGTTTGTCTCTCCTTCTCTTACTATGCCATAGTAGATAAAAGTAAAACAAAGAATGCACAAATTTGGGGAGCTACATTTTATTATCTGAATAATGATAACAATTACAATAATGTGGGACTCTCATCTATATAAAGTCCTGATGAAGCGTCACATTTTGATAAAAACTTATATAGAGAGCAAACCAGGCTTTACATTCCTCTCCCTCTTTTCCTTCTTGGTTGGACGACAACAGTTTGTAGACCAGAGACAGCCTAAGATAACAAATGGTTAATTTCTGTAATCAACTTTCCGTAAAGTTCGAAACTGCTCCTGGACAGTTGCACTGCATCTAGTGGAGTAGGTATCTAAGTACAAAATAACTAATACTCCTCTATAAGTAAAAAAGTCATCTCGTTTGCTGATTACCTTAAGCATCCATGGAGATAAGCGGACTCGCCCTTGTCTTCCTGTTTCTCTCTTCACTGCTCATCCTTGTATCATCCTTCCGGCACAGTTCGAGCCAACACCAAGAAGAGGCGGCCACCGGGCCCATGGGCCATCCTTCGTCGGCAGCATCCATCACATGGTGACCTCGCAGCCACAGGCCGCTCTCCGGGACCTCGCCGAGAAGCACGGGCCGGTGATGTACCTGCGGCTGGGACAGATCGACACTGTCGTGGTCTCCTCTCCGGCCGCAGCGCAGCAGGTTCTCAAAGCAACGACGTCAACTTCGCGTCGCGCCGGGCCCTGATCGCCGCGGAGATCATCGGCTATAGCACCCTCGACCTCGCCTTCTCGCCCTACGGAGACTACTGGCGGGCGCTGCGCAAGCTCTGCGTGCTCAGCTCCTCAGCAAGCACAAGGTCAGGCAGCTGGCGCCGATCAGGGACAGCGAGACCATGTCCCTAGTTGCAGAGATCCGCGCCACCGCCGCTGCCAGAGATAAAGCCACTGTGAACATCGGCAAGCTGCTGGTATCGTGCACCAACTCCATCGCCGGACTGGCGACCTTCGGCGACGTGTGCAACCAAGAGCGCAAGGAGCAGTTCCATTCAGCGGTCGCCGTGGTGCTGAGCCATAGCTTCGGGTTCTGCCTCTCGGACGTCTTCCGTCCCTGTGGATCGTGGACGTGGTGACCGGGATGAGACGCCGGATGCGGAGGCGCACAGGCAGCTCGATGAAATGTTCGACAAGATCATCGAGGACTGTGAAGCCAGGAGGAAGGAGAGGATGGTCAATAGTGGTGCAGGGGAGGATGAGGCTGCAGAAGATAATCTTGTGAGCAGCATGCTGAGGATCCGGGACGAGGAGGAGCTTGAATTCCCTTCAAGAACACCAACATCAAGGCCTTGATATTTGTAAGTCCCGATTAGAGGTTATTATTATATGTCTTCTCTACTAAAATGCAACTCCAAACTGAACTTTGGCCGCAGGCTAATCTGAAATTTCTGAATCTCCCTTTTTAAACTGAAAGTTGTAATTTAGATGTACCAGGGTATGATCAACGTTTTTTCCCCCAACATGATTTTGATTGTTTTTCTATCAACTGTATTTGTATGCAGGATATATTCACAGGAGGGTCAGAAACAAGTTCAGCTTTAGCTGAGTGGGTCATGTCTGAGCTCATGAGACATCCGAGAGAGATGGCCAAGGCACAGGCAGAGAGTGCGTGAAGCCTTTCACAACGTAATCCCACGTCATCACGAGTCTCATATGGACAGGCTACACTACACAAGGATGGTGATCATGGAGACACTGCGGCTTCACCCAATTCTACCCCTCCTCGTACCACATCTATGCCGGAAGACCTGTGACATCGGTGGGTATGAGGTCAACAAAGGTTCTATGGTGGTGATCAATGCATGGGCAATGGCAAGGAACCCAAAGTATTGGGACAATCCTGAGGAGTTTAGGCCAACAAGATTTGAGAACACTACCTGTGACTACAAAGGTTCAGAATTTCATTACTTGCCATTCGGTAGTGGGAGAAGGATGTGTCCCGGCTTGAGCTTCGGGGTGGCCGTACTGGAGCTCATCGTGGCACGGCTCCTCTACTACTTCGATTGGAGCCTACCAGGCAAAATGCTTCCGGAGGAGCTCGACATGGACATAACAGCTGGTGCAACAGCAAAGCGGCGCAACCAACTACACCTTGTGGCGACGCCTTATGATGTTCCAATTCCATTTGAAAATTGAAAATTGCAGTGAAACTAAACAGTATAACAACTTTTGGTGGTCCTATTCTTATCACGTGAGTTAATGTGAAAATACTTTGAAGGTTTTAGTGCAAAATATACCACAGATCTAAATTGTACCAAGCGCATGGATGTCTTATCTTTTTTGATTTTGTGTCTGTCCTATGGCATTGTAACTTGATTTGTGGTGTGTCGTGTAAAGAAATTCTTGTTTATCCATAAGTATGAAGAGTAAATACACTTCTGTTCAACTTCTACACAAATAAAAAAACACAACTATGACTCGTTTGCTGCTACTACTTTATAAATTGGTCCTACGCACGAATGTTACAGGATCTTTATTATCCATTCACTACCGTGGAACGATTTTAGAGTCAGTCAAAAATGGTTTTCATGGGCTGTTTTCAAAACTGACACTATGTCATCAATTGTAAAGATGAGGCCTTGATAGTGTCGGGCTTTCAACAGCCCTTGGAAATCCATTTCTAGAGTTCCTAAAAAATCCATTTCTAGAGGTGGTTGCCTTAAAGAGAACAACCCCTGGTGCAGTGTTTTTGGCTCGGACAGGTAATCCATTGAATCATGCACAGTAGATCAGATGGGTTGCACTCGGACCTGAATATATATTTGTTCAGGTACAAGTTACTCTACCCCAGGAAATGCAAATCGATGGGGAGTGATTCCATCCACCAGATCCACCTACGCCGATAGAACCATGTTTTCACAATCAAATCTTCCTACCAGCTGCCTTAGGTTATAAATAAGCCCCAGTGTTCCTTCTGCTCACCCAAAGCCATCGGCAGAAATCATTATGCCCTCCCATATGTGTTTCCATAATCTCTATGTGGTTGATCTAGGATCAAGATCTCAAATTTTCCATCCAAGTCTTCCAGTAGATGCCATCTTTCTAGGATAGAGTCCAACACATAGATGTTGCCTATGTCGCCCGTGCTATGCATGAGAGGCACCAAGAGAATGTTCAAGAAGATTATTGCACCTATGGTGCCCACAAACATTGATTGCATGATCTGGTTGGTCCTTTTGGGATGCATGAAGTTCTAGGTAGCTTTGTCTAACTCCATTTCGCTAGCAATGGTGGCTCCTTTAGTGCTTTCGACACCTTTAAGACACCACTTGGGGGTATAAGAAGATTCATGAGTTGGTCATAGGAAGTTGCCATTAATGCTTCACGGCCCATATCCAGGTGTGGCATGGATGATGCAGAGTGCAAGAAAACTCTCCTCTTACTATAGGTGAACCACCCCCTACTGTTCATTCAGCACTAGTTTGTTGATTTTGATGATAAATTTATCTAGTTAGAAAATTTTGACATGGATAGATCTAGATATTATTGTATATAAAATTTTAAGACCCCACATGGATAAAATTTTGAGACCCACGGCTGTGTAAGTTCAGAAAACAGTGTCCCGCCTTCACAGTAAAGATGTTCTAGATTGACGACAATATGATTATATTTTTTAAAAATAAAATTATAGGTTCACGGAATGGTATTCCATAATATTCATGTCTAATATTGGAAAATGAAAAAAAAAATTCATGCATAGTGAGAACATTTTACTTATACTATGGAAGATCCCATAGATATCAGCAAACGACATCAAAATCTAGCTTGGAATATCTCATAGGTACCGAGTGAACAGTAAAAATACATCATGAAACATACAATACTGAAAGTACATCATATTTATATGCCCGTGAGTATAGTTTTTCAATGTAGCAATAAAGTGCGTTAAAACTTAAAACAAAAAGCTCTGAATATTGGTAGATACTCCACCCCAAATAGTTTGGAAAGAAGTTTTAGAATGAAAGTTTTTAGATCTTTGGTCTTTTTATACTATGACACACATGTACAAAATGACATCTATTATGGATTTTAACATGTCAACATTGTTGTAGTGGCTTATAGGATCTATAACCTTATAGTGCTACTAATAATCAAGGGCCTTTTCTGATTTGTGTGCCATTTGAGGTGTTTTCAAAGGCATATTTACATGCCTTTGGTTCAAGCTACAAATGGAGGATAGCGTGTTTAGTTTAAGTGTCACTTTGACGGATATTTAATGTCACATTAAAATTCATCTTTAGAAGGCCATAGATGGTGGTTTGATACACTTTACAATGTGCCTACAAGCTACAGGTTGTCCAAAGCATATTAAATTTCCTTTAAATTTGAGATTTTTTTGGTATTGCATGAAAAACATCTTTTATGGCTACATATAGTCGTTTGATACGCAGCTTTGTGATGTATCTAAATGCTAATAATGATTTAAAGCATATCTAGCTTCATCTCATTTTGAAACATTTTTAGTACCACGTCAAAAAAAATCTTTAATTGGCGTTGAACCATTATGCTGTGCACTTTGTAATATGTCTAGATACTATTTACCATTTAAAAGTGTATCTAAAGCTTTGCCATTTTGAGGCGCTTTCAATACCATCTTAAAAGTGGTTTTAGATGCCTTTTGAGAGTAAAAGCATATCTAAAATTATTTCAAGAAGCATCTTTACGTACCTAGAGATGCTTTTTCGGTTCCATTACTCTGAAACCACACCTAGAGGGCCTTTTTCCTTTAGTATGTTCATCCTATTAATGGGATCCGTGGCACCATGACAACATTAGGGACAAGTGAAGTTGTGATGGTCGGTGGCACGCTACAAGGCGGTGTCTATCATACGAGATGTTAGCAATGGGGAAGGATTTTGATTGATGGCATGGCGGTCTTTGTGAACCTTCATATGAGGAGGAAGAAGATGTTTGAGTTGTCGATCTATTGCGTTGATGTGCGAACACATGGTTGATATGTGCCCATGTGTATCGATTGATGATGGCTGATTGTGAAAGCGAGATGACCCGAGCTTGGTTGAGTTTGGGACTAACCTCACTTTGTGGAGTGTGTTGTCCAACATGTCTCTTGGCTTTGTGGTGTGCGGTGTGGAGCACCTTGAGAAGTTCGATGGCAATGGAGAAGGTTAAGTTGGGATGTATCATCTCGATGGGTGGGGCGGCGAAGGATGGACGTGAGGCTTGGCGAGAGACCAAATGGCCAAAACACACGAGGCCGTGGGTGGGCGACACTTGGGACCATCGACGAGCAAGAGTAGACTATCTTGACCAAGTCAAGGCGGCCTTGACTAAGTCTAGCAGAGGCGAAAAAGGACTTCGTGACGAGGGCGTTGGTCGAGGACCGACGGTGACACACATTGAGATCATGGTTAGAGGCGTGGCGGGCCTTCTGCGAAGCTGAGTTTGGTGGATTGGGCCTCAAAACCACTGGCGGGACGGTTTTACGGGTTTGGGCCTCTAAACCTGGGGAGCGGAGTTAGATGCGCACGTGGCATCATCGGGAATTTGCATCAAGGCGAAGCTATCTTGTCAAGTTCTCATGGGCCGTCGAATTCACGGATCTCCACTTGGACAATTTTGCGACTAGGGTTAAGTGGTTCGGGGAAAAATATCTAAGGGCAATGAAATTGTGTGATAGCTCTATAAGAAAGAGGGAGGCTGCCCAAACTAGCCTATCTCTGGTTGTCATTCCTTGGGTTTTCGGTCTCTAGTTTTATTCCATAATCAGATAGAGATCCACAGATGTGAGTTTGAGTCCCTTAGTCTGTGTAATCCTATCATCTGTGTATGACTAGACCTTGTTGATCTTGGCAATAAAGAAATCTTGTCCTGTAGAATCTCTTGTCCAAGATCTTGTCTCGAGTTCTTTTGGTTTGAATCAATTTGGATTTTTGTCTTCCGAACCCCTTCCCTTTGCGTTTTGGTGGTTTTGGAGATTATGAGGATTGAGACCGATTGGGATGGATGGATACGTAGGACCTTAGAGGAACATATCTACCAACTGGTTTGGTCAGACTTCTCATGAGCACGAGTTTGGGGGAATTTGAGCAAAGTTGAGAAAACCCCTATCCGGTCA